TCGAAATCTATTATAGAATTGGCTAGCATAGGATTAACCAATATAAGTTCTTTCTCGTCAAAGTCTATCATAATATTGGATAATATAATAACCTCTAATATGTAGTAAATATCATTCATAAGCAGAGGCTGTAGACTTTCTGCAATCAAAATAAGGTATACGTTTTTTAACTTTCCAATGAAATCAATATTCTTCAGGCCTAGTACTAGCATTTCTACAAGCTTTTTCAGTATTATAGAAAAATAGATAAGAATATTTGCTAATCATCCTACTTTTTATTATTAGATTCAAAAAGATTAATTAATAATTACAGTCAACTCTTGATATAGTGAACTCTTGATATAAATGAATTTTTTGAATAAATATAATAAAAATACTCTTGTTATAGCAAATTAGCCAATAAATCTCTTAAAATCTTCACTATAACCTTATAGCGAATTTGAGATCTAAGATATAAAGTTCATTATAATAAGAGTTGTCTGTAGTTAATGCTTCAGTTTTGCAATAGCTAGAATCTCTTCAGAAGCTTGTAAATACTTATTTTCAATAAGATTTCTATGATTAAGAAGTGATAGATATATAAGAAATAAATAATTAAAAAAAAATTATATAAGCAAGTAATAGCATGATGATTAGAGCTAACACTATAGTTAGAAAAATAAGAAGTGATAAAAAAGATATAATCTGTAAATGTTGTGGTTATAAATGCTCAATATTCCAAAAACTTTGTGAGCATCTTAAGTTAAAAAATCTATGCAAACCATTATAAAAGCAAAAAGAAGTAGCTTTTATTCAAACGCCAATTCAGGTGCCTATTCAAAAAGTTAACCTATAAGTTATCTAAGCTTTCAAAATTAAAGTACAGGTAGAAAGCTCTAGTGTAAATATGAGCAACAAGAAAAAGTCACATGCGGTAATCCCAACTCTAGTTCTTAAACTAGAACTGAAAAAAAAGCTCTAATACTTGATGTTAATTATATCACAGAAGAGGAGGCAAAGAACTGGATCAGTTCAAATACATGTAAATCTAAAGAGCAAATTAAGACATGAGGAGCAGATTACAAAAACATTAGAAAGAATTAGATCTGGGTGTTGAGCCATATGAGGCAAATAATCTAAATGGTTATAAGACCCTTTTCTGTGATCTTGAACTAAATGATCCAGAAGCAATTTGCCTACCAACATTAAAAGAGTTAAAGTCTGAAGGCGGTTCTAGATCTAAAATACAATCATTTAAGAAAGGTAATAAATTTAAGAATTTAATCAATAAAGAATTTGAGTGCTTAGAAGAAATTAAGGAGCACGAAAGGTCAGAGAAGAATTTAGAATTTAGGAAACAAGAAAGAATTAGAAACAGCAGTTAAAAGAAAAGCTATAGTTGTATATCATGTAAAAGTTCCCAAATCTCATCTAGATAATGAAAACAATATACGAAAAATATTAGAATGCCAAAGAAAACAGTTTAAAGAAATACTTAAAAAGGAATTTGATAAATATAAATAATTTAAATTCGCTCTATGTTCTTTTACTAAATTTCTTATAGATGATAAACCTGAGAATGAAAAACAGGAAAAAAGAATTCACGAACTGACTGGTTTAGAAATAAGCAAATTATAGTTTATAATAGAGATGAAATAGATAATTACTTAAGCAATACTTTTGAACAAATCCTATACTAAGTGAAGGAGAGAGAAGGTAAATCTAATTATTGAGTATCTATTAAAGGGTAATTACACATCTTTTACAATTTGAAGTTCTTCTATTACAAATAAGCGTCTAGGATTCTTGTAAAACTTGTAGAAAATAGGCTAATTTTCTTTTATCAAATAAAAATTTATTGTAAAAACTTCAGGTGACCAATTGCAATCAGTTGCCTTTTTTCTTTTATCTTCTAATTCACTAAGTTCTAAAAGGTGATGAACTTCTGTATAACTAGGTAAAAGAGATTTATTATAACCAACTGGTCTCCTATGTTGACAGAAGGTCTAGCTATTATTTTTTTACCTTTTAATGCCTTTTTTACAGTCTTGTTAGAAAGCATACTTATTAACCAAGTAGGAGTATTATTGTAAATATTATCATTTATACGAAGTCCTTTAACTCATGCTCTGGATTTATCAGTCAAGACAAATAAAAATCTTCAGCAACTTACCAAAAATAAGTATGTTTTTCAAATTCTTGATGGTTACATTTAGCAATAACTATATTACATTTAGAGTTAGTATACTAAATTCTTACATTATAACTGAATAATAAATTTTTACATTCATCTATATATTCAGTACTTCTATCTATAATAAAATCTTTAAAGGATCATTAAGATCATTGTAAATTTTCTAAATTTCTTTAGCCATTTGTGTAGAAGATTTATTAATTAATGCAAAACTACATCAATACCTAGTTGCAACATCTTTGATAACACCCCTATACTTATAAATCTGATTACCTACTTTATCATGAAGTATAAGAGTAGTATCAGATTGATGCACTTCATTTAAAAATTGTATAGTATTAAAGGAGGCATACTGAATAAATTTTGGCTGAAGCTTGTAAATCTAATATAAGGTCTGTTTTGTTAAGCCAATTTTTTATTACAGCTAAAGTAAATTTATATCTGACTCTCTTACAAGCAGTTTGCATTTTTTTCAGCAGTCTGATAATATCCTTCAGGTCTGTAATAAAGTTTTTGTAAAGCAAGATCCTGATCTAAGTTTTGCACTTTCTGAGGATTGATATAAATAACCAGTTCTTCCATTTCAATTTTTTATAATTATGAAAAAAAGTTAATATCTATGAAGTTAAATTTTACTTATTAGTTAAGGCACTTTTTTTCTTGCGCTTCTATCTCACTATTATTTCTTTTTGCAAGTTTAGTAAAGTATCAAATTTTAACCGAATTGCAAGAGGATCATCTTCTGGCCTAGTGAGATCAAATACAATAAATTTTTTTTTTTGAAGGTAACTATTAATGACCATTGAAGCATTTTTTATATCATTAATATATTGTCTAATAATTTTGGAAATATTTTCATATGAATTACCAGAATTATAAATTACTATATATGAGGCATTTTTATGCTTGAATGTATCAATTTTATGATATCATTACAATGTTAATCCTCTTTAGATATTCTAAGAATATATTACTTTTTTGTTATATATTAGTATTTCAATCCTGCTGAGAAAATCTTTGACCATCATCACCTATATAATAGATGTAATATCGCAAAAATAAATTTCTGTGATAGGATTGCTAAAAAATTTTCTGGTAATGAAATGATAAGCATCTTTTCTGAATTCTCTAATATTTAACACAGAATAGCAGAATACTCGCGGAATCATAAAAAAAATATAAAATAATAACAAACTTCTTAAATATAAGGTGAAATTGAATGTTATGAAAATGAATGATAGTGGTAAGTATGAATTGGAAATATTTTTTACCTTGATCAAAATTTATGTTATAGATTCAAAATTTCTTAATCTCAAGAAAGTTCTTTTGCAGAGAATATTATTTTATATAGTCTGTGCAGATGTGAGTGATATTAATAGGTGAAACTTTTATAGATATGTAAGAGATTATTTATTTCAAGAATCTAATTTAGAAAAAGCTCATAATTAGCAATAGGAGATAGAAACAAATTGGCTGTAGATCTTTTGAAAAAGCAAAGAAATAATATGACGTAGAAACTCGCATTATATGGCTTAGAGTTTGCATACTCTCTCCCTTAAAAGCGTATCATATTTCTCTATATTTATTATATCATGTTTGGGTAATAATAAGCTTTTATTAAATAAAATTAGTAATTGAGATAGCAAATGAAAAGTACTCCTTTAATGTAGGATTTTGTAATATGTGAAAAGATATAGTAAAAGGTCAAAGCAATATATTATCATTGAAAGAAGTATAGTCAATATTGAAATGTACTATCATGGTCGACCTCAATTATTTATGTACAAATATAATATTCTGCTATTTATGATGAATAACCTCAGTATTTTTCTGACCTTCAACTTAATACCTAAGCATTCACTTGTGCAAGAAGATATCTGCAGAATACAAGTAATTAACCTCAGTTTTTTTAGTTCGAGTAAATCAACTATACTTTGAAAAGAAAAATTCTCATCCTGTTCCACTAGATCAACAACAATCATGTGATAAATAGATTTATATTAATACATATGGTAAGAACCAATCATCTATTAAATCAGTAAGTAATTATCATGGCAAAAAATTATCAAATTTTTCATATCTGTTAATAAAATTAACAAAAGCAATAAATGCCAAGATCATAAGAAATTCAGGAAGAGCAAGTCAAATTCTTGAAGACATATCTAAATCCTTATCTGTTGAACTTTTTTGTGAAGTTCAAATACTGAAAAAGATTATCCAGCTATAATGATTATAGTTGATGTTTGGACAACATGTTAAAAAATACTTCTAAATCAGAAAAGCTATTGAATTTACGAAAAAATTTTAATAGTAATGATTATAATGACAATTAAAAGCAATATGAGGATTAGAAGAAGAATGAAAAAATCAATGTATGTTTTTTTTATTTGAGTGAAGAAACTTAGATATATACTGACAAAAGGTTACATCTTCAAAATAATAGGACAAGATAAAAAAAAAAGAAAAAAGAAAACAGAAGACACATGCTTCATTTCATATACTATTAGACAATGGTATCGATAGTAAAAAATCAGTTTATGATCAGAAAAGAGTAAGTTAGTTATTTTTATTGATTTTTATAAATAATAATACTAAGATTTTTGCTGACTTAGAACAATCAACGAAAAACTGATAAAAAATGAGAATATTGTATTAAGGATATGAATAATAGTAAAAATTAAGTGGAAAAATTTAATGAGATATATAATTATATAATAATACATTCTACGATTATGATATTATTAATTTTTTTCTACTATACAGGTAATAGTAGATATCTTAGAAATGCCATTGAATACTCAGAATTAGCAGAAAAAATTTGTTTAATTTATACGGAACAATATTCTGATGGAGATTTAATTAACCTTCGCTTATATTCATTTTTTTTCAAAATGCTTTCAAGATCGATAGCAAAGTCATATCTATCAGAAATGAACATTATAACAGAATCGTTAATTCCTGATGATATGTACCAATTTCTAGTATAATTCTTCTCACAAAATATTTCTGATAATGACTGGCAAATTAAAATTGATGATTTATAATCCTCAGAGCAAAATAAACTAATTACTGCACTAGTACGAATTTTACATTATATATTACTACAGTTGTATATAGTCATTATCATTATATTAATTCATTTTTCCAAATTCTATTCTAACCATTTTTTTTGGATAGCATGAAAGCATTTTCACTTGAAGCTCAAAACCTCTTCAAAGCATTGCAATAATTGAGCAAGCGCACCTTAACGCATTTGTATATTTATACCTAAATAGTGCTTTATGAAATATAGTGAAAATACATTACAAGTATAGTGAGATTCTCTCAAAAAATTATATTAATAAAGATTGTGCAGATGGCGTTAATTTTATAACTAATGCTGATAAATTCCAAATTATATATGTGAAAGGCCCAAGCCAGTTGTGAAGCAAGATAAAAAAATCGTTAACGCTAAAAAAATTATCTGCAATCTGAAAAATATATTTCAAAAATTGTAAAAAAAGTAATCAAAATCATAGATGTTTACCAAAGAGGCTGTTTATATTTGACGCACAGAGTTTTTGACTACATCTTTATTATATTATCTTAATTACTGTGATGCATATGCTTTTTTTATTTATACTATGAAGAATTGATATTTACTGTTAATATTAATTTAGGAAATTTTTGACTAAATGAGGTTGATAATGCCAACTTATCACAGGATTTTTCAGAGATGTAAGATTTTGTATATTTTTATGAATGTATATTAAAATGAGCAGTTAGTATTATTGCAGGGTTTTGTTTTGTATGTATCAAAAATTCACTAATTTTGAATATTGATTATAAATTTTGTTGTTAGTTTAGGACATAATAAAATTCTTTGACAATACAAGATTTGAAAAGAGATTCTCTCAGTTCTCATATACAAATTCTCTTCTTTAACTAGATGAATGATTTTATTTTACCAGATATTATAGATAAAGTATTCTTTTTTTATTTTTCTATCAAGATTATTTTAGTAAAATTAGTCTAGTCATTTATTTCTTTAATTATTATAAAATATGAATTTTACATTACAATTAAGTTACTTATCTTGCATTAGTATATTGAATACTTAACTCTTCTTATATAATATAAATATTTTAATAAATGATTAAAAGTTGTATGAATAAAGCTGAGGTGTGAATCCAATATCAAAACAACTCATAATTCACATATTTCACTAAAAAATAATAAATGTCTAATTCGCAAAATTACAAACGCATTTAAAGTTTTAAGTTTACTTAATAAGACCTAATTTATGAAGATATTCTGGAATAACTAAAAATGGATCTTCATAATACCAAACATACTTTAATGCAATCTGATTCTCTTTGTATAATTCTTTCTTGAGTTGATTCTGCACTTATTGTTTGATAAAATTATTGAGATCGCTATTATGGAAGAATTTGATATATTTCTTGTATTATACGTCTTATACTTCAATTGCAAAGCCATATTTTAGATAATAAATATCAAATTCTAATCCTGTAAGACATTCCGGTATTTTGAGAAAATTAGGTTTGTGAATTAGTGAAAGAGGGTCAAGATATTTTATTAAAATCTCGTGACATAGCTTTTCTCTTTTATATTTCAGGCAGAATAAGCACCACAAGTTTAATGTTTAATATTATCAAAAGTAGCAAACTATCTATGCTTTTATTACACATTCATAATAAAGCTAAACAATTATTAATATAATATTCAGAAAGATGAGCTTCCTTTCTATTATAAGCTAATTGTTTGGCATTCTCAAGTGTACAAGACTTATTATTTGCGCAATATAAACATCACCTCTTATTATTTTTCACATTGTTAAAAAATGCATTTTACTTATACCTTCAAAACAACGCAATGATAAAGGTGAAAAACTATTATCATATATTTCAGAAAGGAATTCTCTATTCTTACTAAAAGTAATTTGCTTAGCATCTTCAATTGTATGACTAGCCTTATTTGCACAATACGAACACTATGTCTTACTATTCTTTATATTGTTAAGAGATGTAGTTTACTTATGCCTGTCTGCACATTGCTATTACATTGGAATGTTAGCATTAACATATTCAGTAGAAAGACAAAGCCTACCACGTTTTTCAGCAATTGCACAAGCATTGTTTATTGTCAACTTTCTTATTACAAATAGGTAATTCTTTATCAAAAAAATTAAAACTTTAATTTCAGGAGTAATGAATCTTTATGATCCTTTTTTTCGCTTCTTTCATAACTCTATCTCTTTTGAAGGTTTAATGGAATATCAAATCTCAACTGAATTACCAGTGGATCATCATCTGATTTATTTAAATCAAAGATAATAAATTCACCTTTTTGAAAATAACTATTAACAACTATAAAGGTATTTTTCATATCTTCAGTATATCGTCCAATGATCTTGAAAATATTTTGATAGGAATTGGCACTATTAAAGACTATTAGATATGAAATATTTTCACAAATAATTATTGGTGTATGATAGTAATGTTGTGTTACATATATGCTTGAAATGTTTTTATGATGCTTATATGTAAAAAATAGAATAATTCAATTTTGAATAGACTCAAAAGCTACACATAAATCCTTAAAAACAATTGCTATGCTTTTCTCAGGCGAAAATACCCTTATACTAGAAATTTTTTCTGATGATATATTGCTAAATCATATATTCTTATAGTAAGACGCTTTTGAATTTTTTGAAATTATACCATACATATATCTCATAAATACCCACTTTAGCTCATCAAGATAGTAATCACAAACTATCAAATTATCACATGTAATATATCTAGATCTACCTTTTTATCTTTATATATATATTTAGCTTTATTATCAAAAAAAAGATTTATCAAAATATTAGTCTTACCTGATTCACTTTTTCTGATAACTAGCATAGAGAAAAGCCATGATGGGCTGGCAGGATAGGACTATATTCAGATGATTCATGCTTTGTGACTTTATCCATATCTATAAGGTAAAGTTTTATAAGAAATAGTCCTGTCTTTTAGTTCTTATCTGTATCAAATTAGGAGTCCATAACTTTAATTTTTATTTAAGGGTATTTTATAATTCAGAAGATTTTTTTCTTTATTGTAAAGTGAATTAAAAGAATATAGATGAAAGAAAATAGATCATATCTCAAGCTAAAAAGTTCTTAATTAATCCACCTGAAGATTTATAAGAAAAGATACTAGCTTACATTAAAAAAAGGATTTAAAGAAGTTCTACTTGCATTAGTACTTATATAATAGTCGATTAGGATTGAAAATAATAATAATTTGGTCTGATCAAAAGGCATTTTACATGATCCCTATTTATATAATTTTTGTAGGCAGAATATTGGTTACTTTTTTTTCACGAATTCTACCATTCCTAATTATAAATCATATGATTGCAATCAGTAGTAAAATAAGTATGAAATACATTACTATCAGTATCATTAGAAAACTTGTAATAACAGGAACAGTCACTGGTGCTAGAGGCATTTCTTGGGACAATGGTACTGCTTCTGTATCATCTAATTCTAAAGGAATTCCCTCCCTTGAAATTATTTGGGACGAAGTATTTTTCTTTGATGCTAACTGGTTGCATAACAATCTATTTTTATTTATTAACTTTAATCACTCTGAAGACAGAATATCTATTTTACGTTTATATATACTATTTGATAACTCTTTCCTTTTTTCCATATATTCTATTTTATAATTTTTTGAATTAAGGTCCTCCTTCACTCAATCCAATTCAAGCCTGAGAGAATTGATCTCTTTGAAATCAGATGAGCTTATTTGGACTGGTCCTTCTATCACTTCTCTCATTACATCCAAATCATAATATGTATACTTTAGATTTATATTCTCTAACTTACCTTTTAATACACGTATTTTAGTTTTAAGAAAAAGAATCTGGACCTTGTTAGCAGATGAAGCTTTTTAGGTTAAATTTAGCTTTCTCTTGAGTGATTTGATTTTGGCAGTATATTTGGCTTCAAGCTCACTATTAGTTGTATTTAGCTAACTAAACTTATTGTTAAAACCTAAACAAATACAATTAAAATCCTTCACTCGCTTTAAATATATATCCTGCAGGTCTTTATAATTATTAGTAATATTAGAAGCAGTTTTAATGCTACTGTGTAATGCTTTCTCAAGTTCTAATTCACAGATGCTACTAAGCTAATGATCTGAGAAAATGTGTTTACTTAATGAACCCTTAACCACCCTTCTATTTTTGATATCTCTTAAGGTATATATATTAGACATAATTTTTTCAACCTAGTCATTAGTATACTAAAAAATTATGAGCAAATTTTTGAGACCACATGATCCTAAAAATACTTTATTTTTTATAGATACTAGTATATTACTAATATTATAATATTACTGATATTACTGATACTATCATATTACTGATATTACTACTGTTACTATTGATACTATAATATTACTGATATTAGCATAATATTAATACTATCATATTATTAATATTAGTATAATACTGATACTAGCATAGTATCAATATTTTTTATATATTTTTATTTATAGTGAAAAAAATTTCTAGCGATTAGCTACTAATATAATCACATTTTAGCTTAAAATATATATTAGTTTCAGAGCTAGTTACTTGTCTTCTGTAGATTATAAAGACATTATGCAATATCATAATATGAAGTTCAAACCTTTAGCTTAGCTAAGTAAAAAATATAATATATTGAATAATCGTTTATATCAAATTTGGAAAAGACAAGAGTTTAATAGGATTTAATGGAATGATTTAGCAGTCGTTTTATGTATAAATGTTATAGATAAGCAAAATAAGGAGCAGGTCCTACACTAAGCTGAAAGAAATTTTTAAAATAAATATAATTTTGCCTTTACAGCACTGGAAAATGAGATACATGATGCTGAAATTAGCAAATATACTGATTCAATTTCTGAAGAAAATGCAGGCAGTAAGGTAAAAAAGATCAGAAGAAAGAAGTGATTTCAAGGGTCAAGCAATGCCTAAAACAAAAAAAAAAATTATTTCGCCTATTGAATTCTCTAAAGATGTCTTAGATTTGTATAAGAGAACTAATAATACTTTAGAAAAAATTAAAGTAAAAAGTCATCTTCTTATTTCCAAATAGTTATTTATCCTATTTAATTTGACTGCGTAAACTATTATAGTAACCTATGATTTCAAATTTAATTGAATATTAGAAAATAATGCCTTTTCAAGCTCTTTTATACGGACTGCTATATCTTTAAAATTTATACAATTTATGCATTTGTTAAGTCTTTCTTACTATTTGGACTAGAGAAGTTGATAAATGCTTGGTTTTGATTTTCTTTTGGCAGATTCTTGGTTACTAAAGCCTTGCTAAAGATTAGAATAATATATACCTTTCTATGTAACTTTATGCAAAACTGATTTTTATTTGACTTAGGGACGCCTTGAAGCTTTCGAATATTTGACATTTCAAAAAATAGTATTAGTTCTATTTCACTATTATCAATAAAAACAAAATTTTCAATAACTGTGACTGTCTTATTTTCTTTATCCTTTAAGGTAACTAGCACATCTATATACCATCCTAATGAATCAGTAATATGCTTAGAATTGCTCTTTATGACAAAATTAAATGGTTTATTAGCCTTCTATCCAAGTGCCTTGATTGCTAGATCATTTAAACCACCTAACTTACTGTTAGTATCTAAAAAAGATTTAGAAATAATTAAGTCATTTATATTAGTATTCAGATATTGTAAAGATGACAATCACTCATCTGATTTTTTTGATTCCTCCTCTTAAGCCTTTTGAGACAAGCACATTTTTTATATTAGTGATAAGAGCTTAGACAATAGCTGATTGTATATTTTAGCTTAGCTAGTTACTAAATCAGAAAAATGAATAGCAAAGTCATTATGAAACTTTTATTTATTGGTATCTGTTTTTTTTACTGACGTATCATACTATTTATTATTTTCTTCATCATAATCATCACTATTATTATCATCATTATCTGAATCAGAAGATGTATATTAAGAGACTATTGGTTTAAGTCAATATTAGGAAATTAGATAATTTTGGACAATTTTGGACAGGTTATAAACAGGTTATGGACACATTTTTCTATATCCAAAACCTTATCTAAAATATTTAAAATTAAAAAATGTGTCCAAAATCTAACACTGATTTAAGTAGTGTAAAATATAACTGAGTAAAAATAGATTGAGCTATTAGTCTATTTGTATAACTTTCTTTGCTATGACATGTTTTCTCATAAATTTCACATTTTTGTATATATATCTTTTTCTGAAATTGATTAGCTAACTGATTTACAGAATCCTGAGTTTTATTAATACCTTTTTTTAATCTATCAATTCTATTAGAGACATTGTTTCTCTGCGGATAAAATCTTTGAAAAAGCTTTATAGGATAATCAGAATCTAAATCTTACTTATTAAATATACCTACTTCTTTTAAGTATTCAGCTACATAATAATTCTTGAGACCTTCCTCTATTTTCAATAAAGATGGTGAACCTCTCAGCTGTCTAATATGTTCAACTATTTGTAAAGTAGATACTTGCATTTGCTAAACTATTTGTAATTATAATTTTATAACTTTCTTTTTTGTTGCATTAGTGCGTTTTGGATTGCTTTTTGCATATCTTCTAAAGATATTTTATGCCATTGCAAGGCTGAAATAGGTGAAGGTTCATATATTTGTTAAGATGCTCAATTAGATACTAAAGGGTCAGGTATTCTATCTCTTTTATATCTACTTATTTAGCGTAACTCTATTTCATAAAGCTTTTTAGATAATTCAGGTAATGGTAAATGTTCACCAATATCCTCAGCTTTTTCAAGCTATAGAAGTAGAAGAGATATCTAAGAATATTTTACGTAATTCTTTAGGCCTATAGTTAGCTCATCTACCTATTTGAACTATTTTTTATATAATTCATCTATAGTTATATCTTCCTTCATGATTATTTCATATATCATATTCTGAAGCTCCTCTTCTACTGTAAAGAAATAAGTTTTTAGCCATTATACGGCTTGACCAAATCAAATGTCTGCTACAACTACTATAGTTCTATTACCAGCATTTGATTCATTTACTAGAAGATTAGTAAGACAACCTCCTACTACATACTAATCTTTATTTTAAGAATCTTCTACAGCTCTTAATTTGACTATTACATTTCCAGATTGTCTGAATGTCTCATTTAAACTATTAGCTCTTATTTGGATAGCTGTACATCTATTTATAGCTACAAAATTGGTTTGTTCTGTACTATTAGTTAAATTAGTTAATTTTTAATTTATCTTTGTAATAATCTTTTTATCAAACCATTCTAAGGTTCTTTCTCTCATACAGCTTCTTAAATATCCTTTTGCCTAATCTCTTTTATTAGCATCTGCTTCTGCCAAATCTATACTCTGATTTTGCAAGTCTAGTTTAAGTTATGCAAGAAAGTCTAGGATACTATCATCCCAATTAAACCATAAATGAGATATTTCTGCCATATTTATTTGATTTAATGGATTATTCTAAAGCGCTAAAATTTGTCCCTGCAAATTTAAAATATTCTAGCATTCTGTTTGAGTCTTATTTTTCTATTTTATATTGCTTATAGAGCCTATCTCAATTATACTCTAATAAATCTATATCCTCTCTACTTCGCTATAAGTAGTAGGCATTTCGCTGATACAATAATTGTAAGGCAAATTTTTCTTGTATTAGCACACCTATATAAGCTTATTTTTTTGTTATATTATCTATCATTTTATTTACCTAATTTTGAGCATTAGTTTAATATTGCTGAAAATCGCTAATAACTCTTGCTTCTATTCCTTCAACAAGTTGTCTTTGTATAATTTCATTATCACGTTCAGTTTCTACATTATAACATTTCTGTTACTCTTAAAATATATCCTGTTATAAATTATTTTTTTTCTAGTGAATTTATCTTGTTGCCTTTTTTATTTGATCTATCAAAATATCTCTAGCTATTATCCTATTATTCACATAACTATTTATAGCATTTGCTAGCTCTGAGATTGTTCTTCTCCTCTAACTCAGCTTTATATTCTTCACATATTCTTCTCTACCTTAGATGAGGTCTGCGAAATGACATTCTTTTTTTTATGATTATAAAAAAAAATAAGAGAACCTTTAATTTATATTGATTCTCAGAAAGCGCGTGATCTTGACTAAAATCTTACTTTATAAAAGTATAAAGAAAAAAATACCATAACTAATGAGAAGAATCTGACTTCATAGATATCAGCTTTTTTCTGCCTCCGCTAATTGCATTTTTAAATCCTCATTTTTACATTAAAATTCCTTATTCATACTAATTCACTCTTTATATTCCTTTTCTATGTCTTGCATGAATTTTTGAAAGTTCATCTATTATAATCGAGCAGGTGCTGAGATAGTACTTTAAGTTTATTCATAATCTAGCAATTATTTTCTTCTTCATGATCATACTTTAGCATTTCTAGTCAGTTATTATTATCAGTTTAAACTTCACTATCTACAACATATATAGCCGATAATATTAGAAATATATTATATTCTAACTAGCTTTGAGGGCACAATAATTTTGTCTAAGCCATATTTTTGCGTTTTCTATTTAACGAATACTCATAAATCTCTAATGTGTATCTTAAATAGGATTCAATTCGTTTAGACTTTTCAGAAATAAATTCTAATAGAACAAGATCTTTAGAATAGTATAAGAGTCTCTTATATACCCTCTTAACAAGGCTTTTAGGTAACCTATCATTAATATGTTTATAGTCAAAATGAAACATTTTATTAGATATAGTTTTACGTAAAAAAAGTTTACATGCAAAAAATTCACCTCTGGCATAGGGTATAACATTAAAAATAAATTTACGTGTCAATATTGTAAGAGATCTACTAGTAATATAACTTTGATCAAATTACGTGTACGTTATAATTTCTAATGCCAATCATTAGCATTAATACAGAATCACGTTTTTCGCATATATTAATCAAAAATTTTCTTGACAAATTTTTACAATGGCCCGTTGCCCAAAATATGTGATATATTTTTTTATTTTGAATAGTTATATACAGTATATTGTTTTAATGAATCGGTTAATCTGGTTTTATCTATTTCAGATTACATACTTACGTAATGTAATATTAGTATATTAATATTTAAAAATAAAAATCACGTATTTTCTAAGACCACACGGTCTCACAAATTTACCAAGAAAATTTTATTTTATAATACACTTGCTTTATTAATAATATAACTTAAGAAAAATTACATGTATGAAATCTCTATTCTATGAATTTTTTGGAGTTGAAACTATTACTACTATTTTACTAGAACTATATTTATTATCTTCAGAATCAGAACTATATAATATTTTGTGAAATATACATGTGATAGCCATTTTCAGAGTCATTAACACATGTATAAATGGGTATATAGCACTTGAAGAAGTCATATACAATAGAATTGTTGCTTCTTCTATTAAACAATACTTATAAATACCCGATTCTTTCTGTATAGCATAAAGTTCTATAATATCGCCTAAAATAAAAGTAACATGATTATTCACTATTAGTTTATAATACAAGAGCAGAAGGTATAGTATGGCTGAAGAAAAGTAAGAATATAATATATTACTTTCAATGTTAATAGCAAATATAGTCAAATTCTGCTTCTTGAAAAATTGATTAAACATTCTTTTGAGCTTTGATAAAATTCTAGTAGTATCAATAGAATCTTTAGATAATTGAATTAATTTTTTATGATCTCGCTAGCATTTATCTTAGCTAAAATTTGGCCTACTAGTTTCAAAATATACTATTTTGAGTTTTGCATCTTTTCCTAATTGCGCTATAATCATATATTCAGGCTTTTATGCAAATTTGTGAGATCTTTTTTATATATTACTAGCTGAACTTCCCTCTTTACTTCTATTTAGAAAAATCATTAAATAAGAAAAAGCACAACAGGGGAGAAATATTTTATAGGTGATACTAAATGCTTACTATATATCTCATAAAATAGGATTTTCAGATAAATCACTCATTACTATATTTATTAATGATGCAAGTACTTTACAGATGTATGACGTTTATTAACCGATTTTCCTTTCTTTGTATAGGCTTCATACTTAGATGATTTCCAAACTTTAAACCTAGAAAAGATCCTATTTATTTATATTATTTATGAGTAGTAAGCAAACACATAGAAGAAGATAGAGTATAAAGCGAAAAATAATAAATTTATAAAGATTCTAAAATTTATCTTGTTATATCTTGAAGCCTTTTAGAACTATTTAACTATTTCTCAAATCCAACATTACGCAAATTCTCATCTTCATTAATCTTTGATTCTTCATTCCGAATAAATTCTTTACAAGTATCTAATATATCTTAATTCTGTTTTAACTTATATTTTTGAAACGATTCCTTAAAAATATTGCAAAATGACTCAGCAATGTTTATAAAAGGTTCTGATTTGATATTGAGGACTCCTGAATATATTGGATGATCAAATCTAAGATTTTCTACATTTATATTATTAAGTTCCATTTCTATCCTTTCTCATATAATTTTCTCATAACTGGTATTTTCATTTATAGGTTATCCAACATCACGTTTCAAATATTGTAAATTTGCATTCGTATCATCAGGTCACGTCTCAGCATCAATTATCAGAGCTTTTATTTCTGTTAAAGAATATAAATCTTCAAAGGCACTTGTAACCTAAATATAATTAGCTTAATTTAGATTTAACATATTTTGTTAATTAAAGTGAATAACAAATCACAGGATCAGATTAGATTTCTATTTTTATAAACTATCAAAAAATGCTGGCAATGAGCTCAATGATCAATATTCTATAAGCACATATAACTAGCTACTACTATGCAGAAAGTGATGATATCACAACAAGACATTAGCATATTCACTAGCATACAGGAGGGTATAAAAAGTATTGACTAGTTTTGAAAATTTTATTACAAAACAATTAACATATTAACTTTATTTTTTTTTTATTTTATTGAACTACAGGTCAATATTTCGTTAGATCTCTATTTGCAGCAAGAACGGTCTGAACTCAATATGGTATTGACTTAATCAAATTTTGATAATAATTTATGAGTACCGCATCCCATTCCTTCTTAATCCATTGCTTCAATTGCACAACACTTAATGGCTAGAAATCACGCTTACAAATTCTAACCTCAATATATGACCAAATATTTTCTATAGAATTAATATCTGGGCTTTGCGTCGACTAGGAAAATAACTCAATATTTGAGGATTTGATGAGAAAACGTGCGACTTTTGCGGTGTAGACAAGTGCGTTATCTTTTTGAAAATAAAATTTTTTGATCTTTTTTGCATAAAACTTAACCATGGAAATCACATAATTAACCAAATATTATAATGCATATTTCTAGTTACGCAACTAACTAAAAGAACCAAAGGATCTATACCAACTCAGGAAAAACACCTTTAGAACATGCAACTAAAGCTCTTTTGAACTGTGGCTGCAATGCAGTCTTTGTGGAATTCTTCAGAAGATTTACACTATACCTGTCTAAAACCTGATATTCTAAATTATATATAAGTAGACTCGTTCAATTATACTATTTTTAAAATCTTTTACAGTCCAATTTTTGTAAATACGAGCCCAAAGTAAATGAGCCCAAAGTAAACGCCTTTCTTTATTAGTTTTAGAAATTAATGGATTGAAGCGAGAAATATGCGAGTGAAGACCTTGTTTAATCAATTTATTATGAACAGTTTGTTTAAAAATAGTTTTGTTTATTTTATTTATAATATTTAAACGTATTTAAAAGAGGGTTTGACGTTAGGGGTTTTTATTCTTAACCACTGAATGCTTAAGATATTTATGTTCTGCTTCATTAAGAATTTGTAGTCAACCTATTCATTTTTTCAGAAGTTATTTTAACTCATATGACTTCTATACATGTTAAACAGAAGAACGAGAGCAACTAACAACTGCAGAGATTCTGGAATTTGAATGGCCTAATTTTTTTGTAATAATAATTCCCTCTTTTTGAACATTGCTAAGTTCTTTTCTGAGACACATCGTTGCGACAAATTTTTTCTCACTATATAATATAAAAAAATTTTTTGTGTGCCTAAATGACCTTATTTATATATCACAATGACGTTTTGTTTATATTTTTAGTTAGACACAGTCACGTGCAATTAAAAATGGAAATTATGGCTTAATTTGACAAAGGTATAATAATACGCGCTACTTTTGCATCACATTAACCAGGATGGCTAATACTTTTTATACCCTCCTGTATATGCAATGAGATCTCACTATGCCTTTATAAACCCTAAAAAAAGCATATCATCATATCCATATATTCATCATAAAAATAGTTATCATCTTACCTATTTAGCTAATTTTTTTCCAGTACTAAATATTTGAAGTTTCTTTCTTTACTAATATCTTATGAAAGACTCGTTCTAAGACTCTTTTCAAAATATTCTTAAAATTCTCTACCTTCTTTTCGAGAATGTCTGTCTATTCACCTTATTCTATTTGTACAAATAATGCTGTGAAAATTCTGATAATATCAAAGAATTCTCTTGTTAAAAAAGACTTTTCCATATTTTGATAGAATAAAAAAGTTAATATTAGTGTAAAGTTTGCTAGGTAAAGTAAAAAAATGTACAGTAAATTTCAATACCTTTTTACTATATTGTCTTTTTAAATGTCTTGTATTTTCCAATTACGTCTTCTCTAACTCATATTCATATTAGGGAAAAAAATAGAAGAATTATGCGAGACACTTTATACTAAACTTTTGTGTTAGAGAATAAGGGCATGTGAAATATGTATTGAAGATTTTGACATTTAGAATGGTCTTAGGAATAATGTATATACAAACTTTTTTCATTCATCTGATCGCTTATTACTAAGATCTAGTAACGTTATATAAATATACTTTGATCAAAATCAGTGGTGTTAGAGAGCCTGTCCCTCTGGAGTAAAATTACATATCAGTAAATGCTATTTCACTAAATGTTACAAGAAAAAATTCAAAATATTTTAGAAAATTAGTTTATGTGTGAAATTATTTTGTCACATAAGTATAGTTTCATAGATAATTTGTGGACTATCATATATTAAATCATATATACTTTAATGAGAATTAAAAATGTGCTAATTTATATTGCATACAGACAGAACAGGGTGATGTTTTTCTATATTCATTTGTGACAAAGTGAAGTAAAAAAATAAATCAATTTATTGTATTATTATAATAATTATACTAAATACTGAATGCATGATATACTGTATTATTTTGATAAATAATCTATGGCTCAGAAAACTTATTGTACATATTCAACATTATTGTTAATATCTAAGAAATTTATAATAGTTAAATCTCTGTTGATAGTATGCATAATATAGAAAGATCTGAACATGTTAATTTCTAGCGAATTGTATAGATATAACTTGCCTTTCTTTTACATTTATATTACACATATTCTAAAATTTTAACAAAGTTTACATAAATGTTAATGTTGTCTTTCTTAGTATAATAATATTCAGAATTTACTAGATATTTTAACATAATAGTCTAACTACTATAATTAACGAATCTATAATCCTACTGATATAATTTTATAAAACTAACTATATATGCTACAGTAGTTAGTCGAATATATAACTAATTTTTCTTCTTTTCTACCTAATCACTAGAATAATAATAATTATATTTTTTGTACCCTGTAGCCCATTCGGCTAGATATTTTTTAATATATTTTTGAGCAATATTTTCATTATATACTTTTTTAATGCAATTGATATATTTATCGGTATGTAAATTGTATTCTTTTTGAGTTTGAGGATTTATTTTCCTTTCACAAGTTAAAAGTATACCTAAGTATTTCTTCCTATCAGAAGTACCATCATTTCTCACTATATTTCAGATTTGTTTTACCTATATTTCAAATTTCAACTTGAAAGCTTCCCAAGTTTATTAGATAACTTTTGCACTATTAATTATATAATATGCAGTTTTTTTTAAATTCATAATCTACATTACATCTAATACTATAACCCTGACTAGAAAAATCAGTAAATTTATCACAAATCTTATAAATTTTATCTTTACTTAATTTTGATACTATTCTTTCTCCTTTTTTCTAAATAGGATTAGAATATGTAAGACGTTTTTTGGCTATTTTAGTAATATATTCATTCAGAAGTTTATTTGTATATTCAATGGTATTTTTACAGATAAATACCAAGAAGTTGCATACAGTGTAATAAATATTAAATGAGTGTCTCTCAACTAAAGGTTATGCATATTTTATTAGTGAATTGATCAAGTTGCATCTAGTAACTGATAATTATTTTCTTATTAAGAATTTAGTCCTCTTTATACTTTTAATATAAATCTAATATATCATATATTTAGGTATATTTGATATATTAAATATATTAAATATATTTGATATATTTGACATTTTAATCTACACTTTCTTGCATTATATAAATTAAATATATCTATTAAATCAATCATATTAACTATATTACTTATATAATTACTTACAATACATTATGTAAATTAATTAAATTACAATAGTTCTATTACAATACGTTAAATTTTTTATAATTTAAAATTTATAAGTATTTATTTAATAGCTTTTATAAATATCAGGTATGACATGATAGTATTTTAAATTATATTTAAAGAATAATATTAACAACTTTAATTAAAAAGTATTATTAAAACTTAACATTAAGTGATATAAAAGGAAGTTTCATATTATCTAATTTTAATAAATTTATTAATAAATATAAGATTACAAATTATTTAGTATTAGAAGATAAAAAAGCATTTGATGTATTAATTAAAGTATTGAATCAGTATTTTGATTTTATCAAAGACATAAATAATGAAGATATTGAAGTAATTCTTATTAAATAGTATACTAATATAACTATTAGAGGAATTAATACTGTGTAGGCTAAACTTAATTATTACTATAACTTATTTTTAGTAATATTATAATTAATATGAATAAGAAGAGGTCAAAAATTATCATACAGTTGATAGAGTATGCTTTAATAAAGTAAATACAACTATAATAAACTATTTTTTTTATTTTTATTAAAACTAATGAATTATTATAAAATTATAAAGTTTTTAATGTTATTTAACTTAAAGATTTCTAAGCATGAAGAAAGAGAGTTAGTATTGATTTATTAGTATGATTTCAAGTAATAATTTACAATAATTATTTAAATATGATTATACATATATAAAAATATTCCAATATTTTCTATTATAACTGTTGATTCTATTATTGAACCTGTCTATATTATTTTGCATTTGACAAAAGTAATAAGTATTTTATAAATATATTTATTTTTAAATTTATATTAAAAAAGTTATTGATATTAATACTTTAGCTATTATTTTTGTTAATTTAAAAACTTTTAGGTAATAAGTAAATAAAAATTTATTATAATAAAGTAATATTAATACAATACATATTGAATATTAAATGTAAATTGTAAAAAGTATAAAATATTAAAAAAAATACTGGACAATGAATGATATAAAGAATAATGCATTAAATAATACATTGAATAATATTAGATAATCTGTGCACAATTTAACATAATAACCATTACATTAAATTTAACTATGTATTATTTAATATCATATAGTAATAATTATTGCAATAATTTACATACTAAAATTTACAATGCATTTTCAATGCATAGTTTTATGTTAATCTAATTTATTGATATAATTGTATTATGCATTATGATATCAGCATTGAAAAATATAATATGAGATATAGTATTATTTGTGATTTTTTTAAACCTTTTATAATTTAAGAAAGGATTTTTCATATTTATCTTTTATTAAAACTTGAGAAATTAATTTAGATTTATTTCTGCTATTAACTCTTATAAATAACATAATTAATATATTGTATTTATTAATGTCAAATATAGTATTACAAATGATAACATTTGAATTTATAAGCCATAAATTAATTTGCTTAGACATTATCAACATAATCTTTTTTAAATTATTAAAAGTAGATCATTTTATTAATTATTTCTTTTAATAAATTTGAAATATTATTATTTAATTCATTACTTGATATTGATTATACTATTTTTTTTTTTTGCTTTTTGAATTATATTAGATAAATCTTTTAAAAAAAATATTCTATTTAGATACTTTACTTAAGTAATTAATATTATACAGATACAATAAGATATGTTATAACTGTATAAAATTGCAGGAGCTATTATTTCACTATCTTTTAGTATTTAGATAGGTAGAGGACTAATAGTAGAGGTTTCTTGTATAGTATTTTCTCTAAAAAATCAGGTAGTTTTGACATATTTAAAGTTTTTAACTTTAGCGAGAATCGCTTTTATTTGTTTGTCAACACTCATAAGAAATATATGTTATAAATGACATAGATGATATAGAAGACATATATGATTTCCTAGGTGGATTTCATCAAATATTTCTTTGAATAAAATATAATAAGTTAATGCAAAATAATTTATATTTTTATGGTGAATATAATTATGTTTAATTATAAATGTTGAAATATATAAATATTATTATTTTATTAGTCAGAAAATAGTAATATAATATTAGCAATTACATTTTTTGTTTTTTTGATTTCTTTGTTTAGATATATTAGAAACTTTATTAGGCTTATAAATTCTAGATGATCACATGCAAATAATATACTAGTCATATAATTCTTAAAGTAACTTTTTATATTTTGATCAGATTTTAAATTTTATACTAATTTTTAAAGTAATTAGAAAATGAGTAATTTACTTCATTTAGATTTTGATTTTCTATTTTATTGTAAGAATTTTGATATTTATATTTATTATACTTAAAAGAATCATCATTTTTATAAAGTTCAAAGAAAATGTTTTTATTTTCATTATGTTTAAAGGAAAAGTTATCTCTATTTTCATTACATTCAAAGAAAAGATTGTCTTTATTTTTACTATATTCAAAAATGTTATCTCCGTTTTCACTATGTTCAAAGGAAAGGTTATCTTTATTTTTACCACATTCAAAGGAAGTGTTATTCTCATTTTCATCAGAAATATAATTAAATTCAAGAGGATTGTTAAAAGAATTGTAATATAAGGTATCCACTTCAAAATAGCTGTAAAAAACTGCCAAATAAAGAAAACTAAATATGAATTTATTTCAAAAATGCACAAATAAAAGAGATAACAAATTTACTTGAAAGGTTGCAATGAGTGTAATTTATTTTTATTGTGAAATTTAATACGAAAGAATAGAAAAGAAAGAAATTAAACTTTAATGAAGTATTGATTTATATATTGATTACGAGAAAATAACTATTGTGACGTAATTATAGATGTTATTATAAAATCTATGGTGAAATTTAATTAAATATCACTATAAAATTTATATAGTGATAAATAATTAAATATTACCATATAGAGATATTTCGATAATATTATTGTAATTTTAAAATAGTCTAAATTATGAATTTCAAAAAAAAAAATTGATAACATAGTAAAAATATAGTAATATTGAAATAATAATAGATATAAGAATGAATAGATGGTAATTATATTATAACAAAGCAATAATTAGTATATTATAATCTCGTAACACCGATTACGAAAATGATTCTATTATAATTATTACATATTTGCAGATCTTTTACTTTTTTATATGTGAATTTCAGTTAAAATATTTATAGTAAGAGAAATTGCTGAAAAAATATTAATTTAGTCAATTTTTAGTACAAAAATAATGTAATGATATCAATTTCTAAAGTAAAGTGACACGCATGACGAATAAAAATATGATTGACGCGTGACGTCGTCACGCAGGAGAGATAATAAAGAATATTTGATTTGAATCTTTAAAAATTAAAATTCAAAGAAATTTTAAGCATCAGATTTTTAGGAAAGAATTTAGATCAAGCATAACTTGTATAATTTCAATAAAAGGTCAAAAATACCGGAACTCACCAAATTTTCATTGTAAAAGAAATATTTAAATAAAATTTCATGTTACTATATAAATTCGTTATAGTTCATTCACACTTGCAAACCGAGTCATAACCGGTATAACGAAGTTACTTTTAACCAAAAATTCACGATATATTTGTGGCGTTGTTTGGTAAATATACTACGAATGACACAATAACTAAACAAATGAAGTA